ATCGTGGCAACCTGCACGGCAGCGCTGGCAGGCGCGATGAGCGTCGCGCCACCTGACCCGAGACGGGTCGCAGGCGTCGTACCGAGCGCGTCAAGTCCGTGTACTGATGTGCTCTCCTCTTCTACACACACCACCTCGAGAACCTCTAGAGAGTGGTAAACTTTTTTTTTGAGCTTAGCCTTCGATGTTATGAAACAACGCAAGGCGGACATGGCATATCGCTCTCGGGCCCACAGACATCCCGCACACTCGCCGCACACCCGCCGCCCCCGCGCGCGCCCCACCCCGGCCGGGAGAGAGGGGAGTGACAGTTTGGGACGGCAACAGAACGAGTATGTTGAGTCCTGGCTCAACAACGCAGAGAGAAATGAAAGCCGTCCGGCTCACAAGTCCGGCTCACGCGCCCCGACTGACCGATCTACCGCACTGATCACTTCCGCCCCCTCGCTCCCAACCCATCCACCTCGCCTCGGGCCGCGCCGCGCGATCTCGGGCGATCTCGCGCCATCTCGGGGCCGCGCCGCGCGATCTCGCACAATCTCGCGCTATCTCGGAGCTCCACGCCACGCCGCCCCCCCCCCCACCCCCCACCCCACCTCACCCACCGCCGCGCCGCGCTATCTCGGGCGATCTCGGAGCGTCGCTCGCGCGGCGTCACACCTGCTCAAAAAAAGGAAGGGCCTGGTTGGAGCCACGGGGCTCACGAGGACGTGTTCGCTCGGTTCTCGCCGCCTCGCCCTGCGCCACTTGGGCCGGTGAGGCGGCGCCCCGCGCGGCGCGTCCCTCGCCCCGTCACGCCGACCCCTGCGCGCACCGCTCATCTTCAGCCCTCTCGGGGTTACTCTTGCGCTCACGCAGGGGAACCCGGCGGTACTCCCTTCCCCCCACCTCCGACGGGTTAGGTCGGTTCTGCGCCCCTTTGGCGCCTGTGCATGTCCCGCGTGCCCGCCTGCCAGGGCTGATGCCAAGGCCAAATCAAGAACATGCCCGGCTGATGCCAGGGCCAAACCCACTGCCCGGCTGGTGCCAAGGCTCAATGACTCTCCTCTCCGTCTCTTTCCCCCCCCCAGCCCCACCCAGACAGGACTGATCCGCACGACACACGACACACTCTCTCCTACTATCCGACAGACGCTGCTTGACCGACACGGGACGCTCTGACACGCACTACTGAGACGACTACCTCTACTCCCTACCGCTACTACTCGACTGGCGGCGCTCGCGGCGCCACGCCGCCCATCCTCGGCCACGCGTTGCGCTGGGTGATCTCCCAGTTGCGCCTCGCAATGATGGCCGAGTGCTGCTGCAGGAGGCGCTTGCGCTCGTTGCGCACTCGCCACTTCTCGCCGTCGGAGCGCGCCAGGGCGACCTTGGCGGCGAAGCCGGTGGTGAACCACTCCGCCGCCTCGCGGCCAATGCCGCCGCGTGTGCTCGCCGCCCACGTCATGAAGTCGTAGTTGTTGGCCGCGCACGCCGCGGCCTTGGCACTCCGCTTCGCCTCCTCGGCGTAGTCGGTGGCGAGGTGCTTGCCTCTCGCCAGCGGGCCCAGCATGCCTTTACGGAACTGCACTGCGGTGATGGTCGTGCCGTCAAACACCATCCTGCGTGCCGAGTGCGTCCAGTTGCCAAGGACGCCGTCCCCCCGCTGGTTCGGGTTGGACTCCTTGTCGACGGGTCGGTTGGGGTCTCTGCGCCCGAGCTTCACCGCCCCAAATGCTGAGAGAAGCGGCTGAGGCGCTCCGAGGGAAGGGCGAACTTAGCTACGAGATTAACGACGTCGACAGCTGTTACCCAAGCATGCCGAAAGAAGCAATGCGGGTAGCGATGAGGGACATTCTAGGCGATGTGCGCAAGAATCTGCCGCCGGGCGCGGGAGAGGACCCGAAAATACTTGTGCCTAAAAGAGGCAAGAAGAAGTGCTCGTGGGCGCAGCAAGGAGAGGTGTGGGGACACGCATCGATTAGCTTCTCGACGATGCTCGAGGTTATCGATTTCGATCTGGATAACTGCTACGTAATCACATATGACGGACGTTTGCTTAAGCAGGCCCGCGGTATCCCGATGGGGAGTGCACTATCACCACCGCTGGCGATAGGGACTCTTGCGTGGATGGAGCACGAGTGGATGCAAACGCTCGAAGATGATACGAAAGCGCGTTTCCGTATGAAGCGCTACATGGACGATGTGATCACGGTGACTGCGAAGGACGATAGCGCATGGGATGTTGATCGTTTCCGAGATGATTTCCGTCGTTCGGAGTGCTACTGGGCCCCTTTGAAGCTGGAAGCCGCCGAGAGCACCCATTTTTTGGAAACGACTCTTGAGCTCGACCCAAGCGGAAGTTTCCGGACGAGACTCAAGAACGTTAATGAGGGCTGCGAGACGGCACCGCGAGTGTGGCGCTACCATCGTTGGGATAGCTTCACATGCGCTAAAATGAAGGCGGGCATCGTGGTTGGATGCCTGCTCAAGGTGGTCGCGATGGCGAGCGATGACGAGGGATTCACGCTCAGCGTGACGAGCAAGCTCAGGGAGTTTACGGCACTCGGATACCCTTCGCACGTGCTTAATGGGGCGATCGGGCGCACGTTTGCTCGGACAAAAGACGAGCGACTCCTACGAGCAAGAATATGTTCGCACTGGTGAAGACCAGGCGAGCCAAAAAGACAAAAAAGACTCATCTAAGCATGTCGGAGAACCGTCCAAAGGCGGGTGCAGTCGACCAAAGGACATGATCTGTCGACAGCACGAATTTGTGATGGGACACCATCGGGACCCAACAGTGCGATACTTGGCTATCGCACTGTTGACGTACCGGCGGCTAAGGCCGAGTAGCCGGTGTTCACAGAGCTCTGTGAACACCGGCGAGAGAATTTTTTCTCTCGACGATTTCTTCTACGAAGAAACGTTCAAAACACTCGGTGTCGAAACACCTCTCCGACGCGCTCGACTATAGTCTCCTGGAGGCTCCCCGCTTCTTTTGGAAGACGCGACACACACACCGTGTACGGAACAAGAGCGCTCTCTCCCAGCAGCTCCCTACTCTCCCTCTCGAAGTCGAGGCCCACAGACGGTCGACCCGGTCCTCCAGCGGCTCACACGTATCGCACGCATAGCGGCCACTCTTCGGACCGCTGGTCGAGCGACCCGGGGGATGCCCCGCGCGCCTGACCCAGGAGCGAAAAAAGAATCTGCGAGGCGTGGCCGCTCATGCGGCCCGATGGGAGGAACGGGGCGAGCCCCCTCCAACCCACCCGCGCTAGGTCTCGGGTTTGACGCATGGGGTCACTCCCGCGAAACTCGTGAACTAGCCGGGGCAGAGGACACTTTTTCAGGCTGGGAACCGAGGGGTGGCCACCCTCCTCGTGGAGGTGTGCGCCAAACCACTTCGGCGCGCGCGCGCCCCCACGCGCCCACGCGCGCCCTCGATACCCTCCCGGAGTCCCCAGCATGTCCAGCGACGAAGACAGCTCCGGCCTGAGCTCGGATGACCACGGCAGCGGCAGCGGCGACGGCAGCGGGAGCGGGAGCGAGAGCGAGGGAAGCAACTCCCCCTCTCTGAGGCGGAACGGCAGCCGCAAGCGTGCCGCGCAGCAAGCCCGCCCAGCACAGCCATCGAAGAGGGGCGCGGGCGATGCGGTCAAGAACGCCGCCAAGGTCTTTGTCCGCGGCGTGGTGAGCGTGACGAGCGACGGCAAGCACGCCCTCTTTGCAGTCGGGCCCAAGACCAAGGACGAGCTCGCCCGCGATGGCAAATCGCTGCTCGCCGTCTACGAGTTCCTCGTCGAGAAGGCGCCACCGCCCAAGACGTTCCAGGCGGAGGTCGATGCGTTGCCTGGAGCCTCCGCGATGAGTAAGCTGCTCAACGGCAAGCGCCGCATCCTCTCCCTCACGTTCCACACGGACCTCGAGCACCTTACCAAGCTGCTGGCGCACGCGCATCTCCGGCCTGCACTGAAGAACTCGCACTTCACGGCGGACGAGAACTTGCGCGCGCTCGCGCTCGCGCTGCAAGGCAAGCTCGTCTCCCTCGAGGGGCAGACCCGGCATGACCTGGCTGCGCGCACGAAGGCGGCGGCGGATCGCGCTGCTGGCGGGCAGGGCGAGGCGGGTGGCAGGCGGGGCCGGGCAGGCGGCGGTGCGGGCGGAGGGCGGTCAGGTCGGCAGGCGGCGGCTTGCGGCGCAAGGTCGGGGCGGCCGGCCGGGGAGGAGGGCGCGGCGCGCGCGGCGGGCGCCGCGCCCGCTGCGGCGGGCGCAGGCGAGGCCCGCCCGCCGCAGCCAGACTCGGACGCTCCCACCAGCGCGTACGCAGCGCTCGCCTCTTCGCAAGCGTTCGCCTCTGTGGGGCGAATACACTCTGAGCGCACGCTAGGCGCTGCTAGGGCGATTGTGGCGGCGCAAGGCGGCCCTTTCACATCCCCGACTAAGACGGGCGAGACGAGGCGGCAGGCGGAGGAGGTGCTGGATGTGCTCTCAACGACCTTTCGGACAGTCCACTCCCACCAGGAGGACTCGCCGTCAGGTTTTGAGTCGGGCTCTTCGACGGGAGTAAACCGCGACGCCGTCCGTCTCCTGGAGCTGGCGACCAAGTACCCTAAGGTGGCGAGAGAAGTCGTGCGTGATGCTCGGGATAAACTGGCTGCGAATGCGGCAGCACACGCGGCCGGGGAGGGCGGGACGGGCAGCGGCGGCGAGTGGTGACCTCCTCTGTGTAGTGTTCGCGTAGCGATTTTTGGGGCGAGTCGCGAGATGTGCGCGCGGCTCACGCGCGTGTAGAGAGATTTGCATATACAACTACCGAGACTGAGTACAATCATGTGCATGCGAGACGCCTCCGTTCTGTCACTAGTCCTCGTCACTCGAGTCGGATGCGCCGCGCATCCGTCCCGAAGCTGAGCTGCTCACCTTACCCTGCCCCATCGGCTCCTTCCCCTTCCCGGGCCGGGCGGGGGGGCGGGGGCGCTTGGCCATGGGACGAAACCCCCTGTCGTCGCTCCCCCCTACATCTGCTGAGCGGAAGCTTGCCGATTGCATAGCTCGACTGGCGGCAGCACGAGCAGGTCGCTGACGAGCACTGGGAGGTGGGGCGGAGGCGGAGCGGGCTGCGGCGGAGGGGGCTTGTGCCGGTGCCACTGCCGGCGCCTTGGGGGGCCTTTTGCGGGGGACGCTGCCGCCGCCACCGCCACCGCCGCGGCGATGGCTGCTTCGGTCCAGCGGACTCCATCCCTGAGCAATCCGATACTTGTCGATGAGTCCTTTGTCCAGGATGTGCTCCTCAACCTCCCACGTGTCGCTTGCCGCACCGTATCCCTTCCACCGCACCAGGTACTCGCTCGCCCCATTGCTTCCCCGCCGAATACGAACAATCTTGTCGGCCTCGTTCACGTCCTCCTCTGCGTACGGATCGCCCGCCGCGCCCGCCGCATCCTCCTCCTCGGACTCCTCCTCTGACTCCTCCTCTGACTCGTCCGTGACCGTGTCGTCCGAGCTGAGCCCCGAGCCCTCTGACGAGCTGTCCTGCCTGCGTGCGCGACGCGCGGAGCGAGCAGGCGGAGCAGGACCTCCAGCCGCGTCAGCGGCCGCACGCCTCGCGTCATTCTGCGCCTGTTTGAACGCGTCGCGAAACCTCTTGCGCTCTGCAAGGGCAGCCGGGTCTGGGGTAGGCAGCTGGTTGGCCGGCACGCCGTTGGCTGCACAACACAACTCCAGGAGGTCCCAAAACCGCACCTGCTTCGTCATGTCACCCTGCGCTCCGCGCTCGAACTCCTCGATCTGCGAGCCGAACCGCAGCTCTGCTCGCGGGCGGCTGGTGAAGACCACACACGGGTCTTTCTCGAGCGAGCGCACGTCCTCGGCGGGCCGCGCAAAGGCGTGCGGCAGCTTGTCTTGCGCGTTGACAAAGTACTCGTGCGGGTACCTCGCAATCATCGACGGCGCGCGTGAGATCCAATTTCGCCGGTCAAAGAAGCGGCACTCGTCAGAGTACCCGGGCGGGTAGAGGCGTGAGCTGAGTCTAGCCGTGATCGGGAAGTTGGAAGCCTGGCCGACGCATGGCACTGACTGCTTGAACGAGTTGAAGCCGTGCGTCTCAACCATGCCGAGCGGCATCGTGCGATTGCAAGAGAGGCGTCGCAGCTGCTGGATGCATTCACCACACACGGCTGCGGGGTACGCGATCTCGACCACTCCGCAGTGCAGATATGCAGCACTGCTCCTTCAGCAAAACCTTGTTGACGTCCAAAATGGCTGCCTCGACAGGGCCACTGGGGCGGGCGGCATGCTCGGATGTGGCTGCTTGCTCGTCGTCCAGCAGGGACTGGAGCGTCTCTGACTCAGCGCCGACCATGGGCTTGCTCCAAACACTTCGTACGAGGATCTTGAAAGCACGCTGCGTTCTCGGCGTCTCAGAGTCAGCCTCGGCCTGTGCGCGTGCCGTTTGAAGCTGATCAATCAGCCGATCCAGCAGCTCGGGCTTGTGTGCAGCAAGTCGCTTCATGCACACACGGTCGCAGCTGCAAGCCGAGAAGATCTTCCACGGCCAACCGCGTTCGGCGCACTCTTCAGCGGTGATTTGTGGATCAATGGCATCAGCTATGCTGCCAACGTGGACATCGGAAGAGGTAGTGAGCTCAGCGAGCTCACGCCGAACTAGCTCTTCGGGGTCGCCATCGTCGTGCAGAACATTCCTCATGGCTTGGATCGCGTTGCTGGCATTAGTCGGGAGTAGCGCCAATATCTCGGCGCGCGCATTGGCTTCGTCCTCGGTCCCAGCGATCGGTCCGGCGCCGGGGATCATGGGGCGGCACTCGGTGACGCTCTGGCGCCTCACGGGAGCTCACAGCGGGCTGTGCGCGAAACCACTTCGCAAGGCCACCCGCGACCCCACTTTGGACGGCGAGCGCACTTGCTCGGTTCCCAGCCTGAAAAAGTGGCCTCGGGCAGTCGGAGAAGTGGCAACTCCGTGCACTGACGGTCGGCCGTCAGAAAACACGCCTCCGTGGCTCGGGTTACACCAATCCTCGCTACCCAACGCGGCCAAAGGATATCCACCTGGAGAACCTCTAGAGAGTGGTAAACTTCTTTTGGAAGACGCCGCAGACTCCTTAGCAAGCAGTACCACGGCAAGACGTGCGGCACTGCCAAGCCGGGGCCCGGTGGCCGCTGTCCGAACGAGGAGTGCGCGATGAGCAAGCCACCAGAGGAGCGCACCGAAGGGCCGTCGAAGAGCGCCGTCAAGACCGAGAACAGATGGCGACCCATCTGCCGCCGCGCCAAAGAGGGCCACAGCCAGTCGGCGCGCTGCCACAAGAGAGGCACGATGCCGCCGCTGCGCGCGTGGGCGTTTGTCGGCTCGTGCCTTCGCGGCACCGGCGTGGCCATGTTCGACTACGCCGACTACGGCGAGACGCTCCTCAAGCTGCCGGCGCCTCACTTCTTCTGCATTTCCGGTCCAGGAGGGGGAGACGAGGACAAGTTCCGCGAGCGGTTCGGCAAGCACAAGGTGACGATGCTCCCAGGTTGGCCGAGCACGCAGAGACTCGATGAGCTGCTGCGCCCGCACAACGTCTCGCACGTTTACCTCCACAAGGCTGGCGGCAACGACGGCATCGTTGCCCGGACGGCCGTCAACCTGGTCCACGCGGTATTCACCGGCAAGCATCCTCACGGCGATCGCTACGCGCGGATTTCGTCCTTCGTGTCGAACGGCGGCCACGTGCCCGTGGTGCCGTACCTCGTGCGGCCGCTGCCGTCCGGCAAGACGCACCGGCGTAAGGCGCTCCGCATCGCGCCGACCACGACCGTCCTCTGCCGGTACGGCGGCTACGAGACGTTCGACATCAAATTCGCTCAGCTGGCGGTGGTAGAGGCGGTCAAACGGCGGGCCGACCTCGAGTTCCTTTTTGTCAACACGGCACCGTTCGCGCAGCACGAGCGAATCCGCTTCCTGCCCAAAACTTCGACAGACGCGGCCAAGGCCGACTTCATCCGCACCTGCGACGCGATGCTTCACGCCCGCTCCGGCGGCGAGACGTTTGGCCTGGCGATTGCCGAGTTTGCGATGCTCGGCAAGCGCGTGATAACGGCACGAGTGGCGCCGAGTGCGGTGCACATACAGGAGCTGGGCGAGCGGGCTATGCTCTTCCACAGCTACGACTCGCTGCTCGAGCTGCTGCTCGCCTTCGATCGCAACGCGCACCTCGACCCCGAATGGAACGGCTACGCCAAATACCGGCCCGCGCACGTTATGCGCATCTTTTACGACGTCTTCCTCTCATGAAGCACGATGACTCATTGCACGACGTACCCTTCCTCTCATGAAGCACGATGACTCATTGCTGCCTGTGTTCGCCGATGCCACATCTTGGCGCCGTATATAGCGAGTAGCCCACCCCGACGTATTTCTTTTTGTCGAAGAGCCCCTGGCGAGTTGTAGAAGCGGTGGCACTGGTTCTTGCGCGCAGGCCGAGCGGCTGCAGAGACAGGGACGGGAGGCGGGTGAGCAGACGGAGAGGGCGATGTGGGCGAGGCCGAAGGCGTGAAGGCTGAAGCGGAGGCATGGCGAGCGCAGACGGGTCTCGGGTGTCCGAGGCCGGGAAGAGACGTTGCCGAAGCTGCAGGCCCTCGTGGGAAGCATACAGGTGGTCGCCGCTCCTCTCCTACTTCCCCACGCCGGGATGCCATCCGCGCAATACATGTATACGTCGGTCCCCCGCCCCACCCATAGGTGGACGAGGAGCGGCTCTAGCCCCAAGCCCGGTCGAACACCCCCCAAACAAATAAAGCCCCCCTTCGAGCTGAGAGGTTTTGGGATTTCAGTCTCGCGCAATCAAGTCATCAATCAACGATGGTGCCAACGGCCGAAAAGCGCCGGTAAGCATTCACGAGTTGGAGGAGCGTCTTTCCCATGCTCGCGCGCACCCCGCGCGCGAACTATGCATGGGCCCGGCTCGCCCGCTTGGGGATGCACCCGGCACACCCCGCCCCCCACCTGCCGGCTTACCTGCCGTCAGTTACCCGCGGATCGCCCTCAACTGTCAGCAACACAAATCCACCAGTTTTTGGGCTGCCTTCAGCCTCGCCTCACAGCCGAGGAGCGCGGTGCGGGCGGAGAGCTCTGGCAGCGCCTGGGACTACGCCGACGCTCTCCATGGCCCAGGAGGCCATCAAGTGCAGCGCGTCGCCAAAGAGAAGGATCGGGAGCTTGCGCGGGGGGGGTGCCGGCGCGTGACTGACTCGCTCTGGACTACAGTAGTCTCTGGCACCCTGCGTTTGTTCATAACAAACCCGAAGGCAGGCTCAATAAAAAAGAAATTTTGGTTTCTCGGCAGAGCGGCAGAGTGAAGAAAGGCAGGAGGCCCGACAAGCGGTGACAGCCTCCCTGCCCTACTGTGTGAATCCGTATTCCACGTATTCCACATGACCTCCAAAAAGGGCCGTATTCCGTATAAAATTGCAGTTTTAGGCCGTATTCCACACGTATTCCGGAATACGTATTGCCCGAAATGGACGTATTCCGTATAAAATTTTCCTCGCTCCGCGATTTCACACAGTAGGCTCCCTGCCTGTCTCCTGTCATCTGTCTCACTGTCACCTTTCGGGGGGGCGACCCCCGCACCATCACCGGGAGGCGGCCAGGGCTCATAGACTCGGTCGAGAGACCCCAGATTGGCATCCATGCCTCTCTGGACAGGGTGGCCCGCCACAAGGACCCCAGGAATTGCGACTCGCCGCTTTCCTCCCGCTGTGATTCTGTGTGAGCTCTGTGTCTTGATTTGCCAACAATATACCTACAACAAGCAAGGGGATCTCGTACGTGTAAGGGTCCATCACCTTCGTCTGTCCGTGGAATTGTACCGAGTAGGGCGTGCTTCCACATCGACCGCCGAGGGAACGTTGGGAAGAGGCACGAGGAGGGCGGCGACCTCAACCGACTATGGAGGACCCGTCACCAGACGACGCAGGGCGGACGACGGTGAGGCGGAGCAGTCGCGTAGGGCGAGACGAGGGAGGGAGCAGGACGTTGCGGAGATCAGCAGGAGGATGTACGAAGAGATTAGGAGCAGCAGGGACCCGAGGGACCATGTGGAAGACGGCTAGTGCTAGTCCCCCATCGGGAGGACGACCCCGGCTAGTCGCCGACCACACCCACAAAGAACCCTGCACAAAGACCGCAGGGCGGGGACCTGTTCCTTTTTACCCATCTCCTAGTAGAGGTGTCCGTTTTATTTATTTATTTATTTCCACGCCTGATGACCTTGCCACCCTGATCTCACAACAACATCGGCGGCCGGAGAAAATGAGCAGCGCAAGGGTGAGCCGCCTCTCCCCGCACCTTTTAAGCGTTTAAGACCGTTTAAGGAATTGGCGGCCCAGCAGCTCGCCCCAGGGCCCACCCTTTTAAGCCTAGGGGTCCCCTAAGCTTCTCGCCTTCTTTCTCCCAGCGGAGCTGAGCGCTCGTTTACGTTATTTGGGCGGTCTCGTCCTCGCGGCACCTTCTCGCCTTCTCAGCGCCGCTGAGCGCTCGTTTTGGGCGGTCTCGTTTTCCCTTGTTCGGAAAAAGAGCGGCCTTGGAAATAAAAAAAATAAAAATAAATAAGCAGCGGCGCGAGCGCGCGCGGGCGCGCGGATCACACACCTGTGACACTAAGGATGCCTTCCCTCCCTTTGCCGGCGCCTTCTTGGGTCGGGGCCTGCGGGCCCCTCACCCAGAAGAGCTTCACCTTGTCGGCGCCGTAGCCGTTGCGCATCGGCGAGTCGACGAGCTCGAACGCGAGCCCGGCCTTGCGCATCGCGTCCTGCAGGAGGGACCAGAGGGGCGACGTCGACGACGGGGTTAGTGCAACGGGGTTAGTGCACTGTCAGACCCGCCAGGATCCCGCTGCAGTGAGGCCGCAGGGCGGGGCGCTCCCATCACCCTTCTATGGCTAGAGGCGAGGAGCCTTCTCTCTCGGCTCGTCTAGTCGCGTCCTGCAGGCTGGCGAGCTCATTCGGCCGCCGCTCGCTCGCCGAGAGCAGGCACGGTACCCTCGCCGCCTCGATGGTCTCAAAGAGCACCGGCCACGCGTCGCGATTGTACCTACAAGGGCGAGCGGCGGCGGCGTGGGCGGCGTGGGCGGCGGCGGCGTGGGCGACGGCGGCGAGAGTGGCGGCGGCGAGCGGCGGCGAGGGCGGCGGCGCACGTGACGTCTGCGCCGATGGCGACGTCCCACGATTGCGCGAGGGGGCTGTCGGCCGCTTCGGGCCCCGGCCTTCCCCAGGAGAGCGACGCCGCCGAGACCGTCCCGCCGACGCCGTTCGCCTGCGCGTTCTGCGCAGCGAGCGCAAACACCTTTGCGTCGCGGTCTGTCGCGAGCACGCGCGCCGCTCCCAGCTTTGTCGCGGTCACCGACCCCAAGCCGGTGCCGGTGCCTAGCTCAAGGACGCGCTTGCCCTCCCAAAACGCGCTGCCGAGCTCCTCCATGTACCGGCTCAGCACGATGCCGCCGCCCCAGACCGCGCTGCCTACACCGAGAGAAGTTTTGCGCGCTGTACAATACCATCGAGAGGGCCCCGGCGGCTGGGTGACGGAGGGCGGCGCCAGTCGACGCCTCCCACATGTCTGCCTTGGTCATTGTCTGCCGGATGAGCAGCGGCGGCGCGCCCGGCCGCCAGAAGATGCGGCGAGGCAGCAGCGAGCAGTCGTTCCAATCGTTGACCTCGTTGAACTCGGGGCACAGCCTTGAGCGGCTCATACAGCGGCTGCAGCAGCCGCACCGCCGCGATCGCCGCCTGCGGCACCTCGTCGACTCCGAGCAAGTCGGCGAGCTCGTCGCCGGTGTTGTCGAGGACGCCGAACAGGCCGTTGGCCACCACGACTCCGCCAGCGGCGGCGGCGAGCGCGGCGGCGCCCACTCGCCGCAGCGGACTGCCGCCGCCGGCGGCCGACATCGCCGGAGAGGAGCAGCGGGGACGCAAGCTTCGGCGCGCCTCGGCCGCCGACCGTTTGACGGCGCCAGCGTCCCCTGCCGACAGCAGCATGCACGGCCCCGGGCAGTCGGGTCCTTCGCAGACCACGACTCGGCCAGGCGGGCATGCGCCGCTGCAGCCGACGCCTCGGACAGCAAGGTAATGAAGCGAAACGTTGTCCGAGGGGGGGCAATCCGAAAGGCGGCAGCGGAAAGGGGGAGGGAGATTAATAGGAGGCGAGAGGTTGACATGAAGGCGGTGGAAAAGCTGCTAGAGCTGACCCAACCCGAGACGGGGGGACAACCCACATCGAGCGAGGGGACGGGGAACGATTGAAGGAGGAGGTACTCACGTGGGCGGCGTGCGAGAAGGCCATAAGACGATTCAAAAAGGGCAAGGCGGTCGGCTCGGACCTACTCGACGGATACCTACTGCGCATAGCAACGGAGGACATCCAAAAAGACTACTGGCGTCTGCTGGTAGAGATTGTCGAGACAGAAGCGTATCCGCGGGAATGGAATGACTGGATTGCGATGCTAGCGATGAAGCCGGGGGAGGACCCGAAGGAGCTCGAACGAAGGCGCGACCTCTGGGTCCAGCCACAGTCGTTAAAAGGTCTCATGCGAATGCTCCTACCCGAATACGATAGAGCGTGCGCGAGGGTGGTCCCCGGCTCGCAATGCGGCTTCACAGCCGGAAAGAACGCGCCAGCACAGACACTCACCGCGCGCCTGCACGCAGAAGAGTGCATGATAGAGAGAAAGATGTGCGTGAGAGGATACATCGATCTCGGGACCTACTTCATGAGTGTAGTACACGAAGTGCAATGGAAGGTGGAACAATGGGCAGGGGTACCGCCCGACGTGACAGCTGTGATGAGGGCGCTAAGGGAAGGACTTAGGGAAGAGCTACCCCCCCTCCAAGGTAGATACGAGACGGGCTATGGACTTAGCGACCGATTTCCCATCGAGCAAGGCCTCGGCCAAGGGTGTCTCCTCTCGCCCGCACGCGGCGCCGCCACGCATGCAGTTAGGTGCTTGGGTCAGCGGCGTGAGCCGAGAGGTGGCCCACCGCTGACAGCGCTCAGCGCGGGGGGGGGGGGGGGGGGCGGGGGCCCCCCACACACGCGCGCGGGAGCCGGGACGCGCCCCGGCAGCAGCTAGCTCATAATATGCGGCTCTACTCGTATCGACCAATAAAATACCGGGGGAGGCCTGCGCAGCCTCTGACTATTTAAACAAAACACTACTATCTCACAGCAGACAGGCTCGACACAGGTCCTCCAAAAGAATTCTAGCACGGCTATCACAGCACGCAGGCACGACAAGGGCGCGGACTGGCGCGGACTAGCACACCAAAAGAAAACCCCACCTGGCTATGTCGGAGAGGGTGACGGCGACGGCGACGGCGACGGCGATGTGCCACGCCCCCGGCTGCTTTCGAGTTTCCTCTTGAGAGCGCGACCCCTGTACATACATGTACACGTATACGCGCACAACCCGAGACCGGACAAACACTCGCGGGGAGCTAAGAATCGGACCCGAGTGACACATGGCGAGAGACACATGAACACACGATTAGTGACACCGGTCTAGAGGCGCCAGCGCACCCTCCCTGCCGCCCTCCGCGCTGCGCTGAGGACGGGAGCCAAGCGCAAGAGAGGGAGAAGGTCCACACCTGGAGAAGAGCGCTGAGGACGGGAACAGCCCAGCACAAGAGAGGAAGGTGGCTGCCACACCTGGAGAAGAGCGCTGAGGACGGGAACAGCCCAGCACAAGAGAGGAAGGTGGCTGCCACACCTGGAGAAGAGCGCGCTGAGGACGGGAGTAGCCCAGCACAAGAGAGGCATTCTGTGAAGCTCGACTTTAAGGAGGGGGCAAGTAGCCAGTGTCCCCATGGCAAGACAGGGCGAGATCCGCCGTCCCATGGAAATTTCCCGTGGCCACCCGTCGCTGTAACTCCGCCAACCTCTCCCGTTTCTTTCCATCTTTCTCAAGGGTCGCCATCTCGATCCTCTCCTCGTCCGTTGCAAGGAAATTCCGAGGATGGAATCGGCACCCTCGGGAGCGGAGGAGAGACAGCGTTTCCGTCTCGCCGACCGCGGCGCGGCAACCATGCAGCTCGCCTGCAAGGCGCTTGACCAATGATCTGTTCGTGATCCACTTGCTAACCTGCGGCACTAGGCGATACTCGCAGCATTCACAATCGAGCTTGACCAAGTCGAAGGTACGAGACGTGAGGCCATGCAACTCCATGAAACTGTCCCAATGGTAGGCGGGCACGTCGCCTGACTTGCCGAACCTTGTCATCACGTTCTGGCTCTTAACGAGCGCACCGCCTGAGACTTTGACCCACTCGAACGGCGCCCGACTGGCTCCCAACCCGCCAAAGACTGGGTATACGCCTCCGATCTTCGGGCGCCCCTGGAGCTCTTCCGATGTAAGCACATGGACGCCGTTGAGCCAGAGGTTGATGCGGAGGATGAAGTAGGTGACTGGTGAGGGCTCGAAGGCGATGACTTGCGACTTGGGGTGCACATGTGCGATGAGAGAGGAGATAAAGCCAATGTTTCCGCCGACGTCAAGGACGAGAGGCGTGGGTGAGGTGAGATGGCGAATTCCATAGTCGTCGCATTCCCCGCAATCGCGTCCCCAGGCGTCACGGCGGTTTGCAAACTCGTCCTGGAGGCGCCCGATGGTGTCGTCCTTGGCAAGAGCCGTCACGTTCACCGTGACGCCCAGCGTGCTGATGGCCGTCACCTTTGACATTCCCCGCACCATGTGCTGCGCCTTTCGGTGACCGACCAGGGAGACGCCGAGCGCCGACAGCCACGGTGGCAGGGCGCTCAGCTCGCCCGGCAGCAGCCCTTCGTGCGTAATCATCCGTTGCGGCTGAACAGCACGCGCGGGACCGACGACGAGCGCGATGAGCGCGAGCGTGGCCGTAGACGCGCGGGCCTCCTTCGTCGAACTGCGGCGCAACACGCTCGTGGCGATCGCGGCGATGGGCAGAACACCCCACGCGAGCCACGAAGCGCTCGGCGCGAAGAAGCCCGCGGATACCGCCATGTATATGCGTCCCTCTGGCCTTGCACGCCAAGGCGTCTCATCGGGACTCCTTTTGCACGCCAAGATGGGTGACACCGAGAGAGAGAGAGAGAGAGAGAGAGAGAGATTTAATTCTCTCTCTCTCGGGTGACACCTGCCCCCCTGACTTATGTATCAGGGTGAGTCCACAAACACCGAACACACGTGCGCATGGAACCGCGTGGATCCCATGGAGAATAGCGCGACCGTGCGCGGCTTGCTCTACTTGGCGTTCTGGTTCTCTCTATCACCCAGGGCGACCCCCACGATATGATTGTGTGAGGCAAGACGGCTGAGAGCAGTCGTTCCGGTTGTGAAAAGACCATAGTCCATACTTCTGCGACATCTGGAGGCCGGCACACAGCGCCTCGCCCTCGACCTCGTCCTCCCCTCCCGTCTCTTCTCCCTTCCCGCGGGCCTCCATGTCTGATATGATCGTGTCCCACGACACCCCCCCACCCTCGGCGCGGTTAGCAGCGGCTCTAGCCGCCTCGGCGTCCTCGGCTATCGCGCTGCGGCGCCAGCGAGGCGCCTCTGCCGAGCCAATCTGGCTCACATCAGAGACAGGGTTCCACAGCTGTTTCATCGACCATGTCTCCACCTTGGTGAAGAACGGGCACTCCACGTACACGTTCTCCTCCTCGGTATCCTCGTGCAGCCAGCGAATCTTTATCTTGATTCTCATGACCGCCTCGACGCGAGCGAGGTACACCTCTGGGTCTCCATCCTGCCGGACGGCCCAGAGGACCTCCACGACGTTCCCCACCTGCAGCGACCTCCGGATCGCCGCTGTGCTCACGCCCTTCTCCAACGGCCAGCCCGGCTGGCGACCCTCGCCCTCCGCCGAGCTCGCCGTCCCGCCGTCGGCCGCGTCGGTCGAGCCTCCGGCCTCGCCCGAGCCCTCCTCCCCCTCCTCCTCCGCCTCGCCCTCCTCCTTCTCCTCCTGCGGCTCGTCCACGAACGCCGAGAGCTCCATGCTGTCGAGCCGGAGATCCTGCAGCTGCGCGGCGAGGCCCTCCTTCTCGGTGACTCGCTTGGACACGTTGTGTCCGAGAGCGGCCGACGCGGCGCTCCAATCGGCTGCCGTTGTCGGGTAAACGTGCCCGCGGTGCCGCAGTGCCGTGAGCCTTGTCGCGCACATCTCCGACCGGCGCTGCGTCCCGTGCAAATCGCGAGAGAGCGTCTTGACGACCGTCTCCGAGAAGAAGTTGCTGATCGGCACAAAGACGCCGACGCTCCAGATGGAATCGTAGACGTCGCTGCCGCCCGGCACGTCGCGCAGCTGCGTCGGCCGCTTGCAGCTTGCCAGCCGCTTAAAGACGCCGAGGGCGTCGTCCTGAAACCAGAGGCCGACCCCCTCGGTGGCGTTGGTGATCGCAGCGCTGAGCTCGGTGGCATCGGCCGAGTCGGGGAGGTGCGGCAGCATGCTCTGGATCAAGCCTCCCCGGCCCTGCTTTGCGAGCGCCAGCAGCTCCTGCGCCGAGAGAACAGCATGCTCTCCCTCCTCGTCCATAGTTCCCAGCGCCACGAGCGCGGGGTTCGTCCGCCACGCTGCCGTGTGCTGTCGGAAGTACGTAGAAGCAGCGCGTGCGGCCTTGCGCACGATTGCCCGCACATCCAGGCGCGAGAACGCCGCCGTGTTCTTGGCGACCATTGCTCGCAGCGGCGCAAAGTCGCCCTTCCATGGACGGCCGCCTTCGAGGTCGCGCGTCTCGTCGTTGTCGCTGGCGAGCGCGTCGAGGTAGGCGAGCCGCAGGCGAAGCACGCGGGGTGCCTTGAACGCCACGCCCGGCCCGTCGTTCTCGGTAAACTTGAGGAAGCGGTCGGCCGACCGCTCGCCGTAGATGGCTAGGAACGAGAGCCACACGCGTATCTCCGGGTCGAGGAGCTCAAAAG